TGATTACATTACTGTAAACATCCTTGTAATTCTCCAGTGGTGGCTTAGCCTGGACAAAGTGCTCTGTTAATCGTCAGATAGTGCTTCCGGTACTTGAAGAGTATCCAGCTGTTAAGGTGCTTTGCCAGAACTCCAGCAAGAAAAAAAAAATACACAGAAGACAGAAAACATGCCCAGCAAAGCCAAAAACACAGGACATCTATGACCACCCAGCAAGCTGTAAGCCAAGAGGCACTCAACTAAGCACAAAGTCATCAAAGGATGTACTCATATGCAAGTCATATGGACCTGAAAAAGCAACTAGAGGCAAAAAAAAAAAAAACCCAAAACTATAGCATTCTAATCCCTTTCCACAACATGCTTGTTGTTGGAAGGTGCAGTCACACAAAAAGTAACTTCTCATTCTCACTTTTCTGTTGATTTTAAGAATAAAATACAAGTGTAACAACTTGTGGCAGATGAGAACGTTTATCTTTGCCAGTAAAAGCATAGGAAGTGTTTCCATACTAACATCAAATCTTTATAATCCCAGACACAAACCCATACCAGCTACAGGCCAGTACTAATTCCTTTATTAATGAATGGTTCTTTAGCTTCAGCTGTGAAACTAAGATCCGTCACTGAGAAACACTGTACATATAAAGCTGGGCGTTGTTCAGATAAATGCTTCAAAGAACAGGAAACGAAGTCTAAGCACTTGCACACCTATCCCTACAAGTTAACGTATTTGTATATAATTTGTTATAATCCCTATATATACCCCTAGAAAATATAACAAGAGCTATCAACAGAGCGTATTTCAGACTGACTCAACTGCGTGACTTTCAAGGTCATCCATCTCATGTGTTATGAGAAGATTCCTCACCCCATGAATTCACCAGTGTCAAATATAAATTACTTTCTCACTGTAAAGTGCAGTTTGCATATTCTGTTAGTAGTATTTGGCACCTACTCTACGACATGCAATGGACAACGTGATAAACATGTTTGAGTACCTGGAGTGGCCTTCAGCTATTTGCTTGTGCAGTACAGGCAAGGCATTTTAGAGCAAAGAAACCACAAAGAAAAGGTAATATTTGGAGGAGAGATATCACTGATGAGATATAAACAGTGCAGATAGACAAGGCAGATACAAAACCAAAGAGAAAAGACAAGATGGAGACAGAGGTAGGCATGAACTGAAAGAGAGAGAGGATGAGCTGTTAAGTAGAGAGGCAAAGAAACTGTATATAGAAAACAGACAGAAAATGAAAGACCTTAGGAGAAGAACATAAACTCTTTTTTAAGAAGTTTCCTATGTTTCCTATGAAGTAAATACTTCTTCCCTCTAATACAGCAGTAAACTGACACATACATCCTTGCCAAGGTACTCACATTGGTAAGCACATACTCAGCTTCAGAATCCTCTCAATGCCTTCTTTTTTTCCTCCCACTTCATTTTGCATACATGAAGTTACATCACGGGTAACACTCTTCAAAAGTCCTGCTTTTGTTTGTATTTTTTCACTGGTTTAGACTGATTACATTGCCTGTATGGACCATAAAATACATCTGCAGTCTGAATGGACATTGAAGGTATCATGCAGACCTTGAATAGCACTGAACAGAGCTAGTATGAGCAGGGAGCCAACAACCAAAGCAGCTATGCATATGGGTTCTTCTGGAGCACATCCTGAGGCATTTGGTTGAGTATAGGACACAACCTGCTTGAAAGCTCATATACTGCATACATACATTCAGGATCAAAAAATCTTCAGTCATTTACACTCACTCTACTGCTTTTCTTTTCTGGATGGACCCTAGAATCAACAACACTCAGGAACATCAATTTTAAGAACAGTTGTCCACAAGAATTGTTTGAGCAAAGATGAGAGAAAAGAGTAAATACCTCCCCAATATGTCCAGGACTTACCGTAATGAGAAACTCAAATAGGAGCAAGAAGACTTTGAACTTGAGATAACAGCTAACCAACCTTTTTTAATTTTAATTTTATTACATTAGCAGGCCAGGTTATACTCCTCTACTTCTCCAAGGAGAAGAAACCGATACAACATCTCACCCAGATCAAATTGCCAGAGGCAGTAAGTATAACGCAGCCAATTAAGATTCTGAATTAAAAAAAAAAAAAAAAAAAGGACACAATTGCAGTATTAAACATGCATATTGTTGTATTATTTACATTCTTTGAAAGGTTGTCTTGGTTGGAGAAGAAAATGCAGATCTAGGTTTCATATTGAAAATGCTGAAGCAGCTGCACCAGGGAAAGAAAGGCATGGTAGACTTAAATGCTTTGTGATTCTAACTTAAGAGATGTACAGATACCGGACTGTTGTACTTTGGTTTCATTAATTTGGTGAACCTGCAATCATTTTTCTACTGTTTTAAATCAGCACTTTGGGGCTATTTCAACATATAATTTTCAGCATTTCTTCCCCACCCTCCAATTTTGCTCTGCCAAACTGCAGAGACTGGTATAAAAAGTCAACTGCTTTTTGACGATGTAAAGACTGTCTGAAAATACAAAGCTCTACTCACCACTTCAGAACTAGATTTGCTTTTAAAACAGTTGACATCAGCTTTTTATTAAACAGAGATTTTAAATTCTACCCCTGCTACAGGTTTGCATTTTATCTTTTAAAACAATCCAGAGAAATGGTTTTACTCAGTTTGTTATCACCACCTTTTCCCACATAGGAGAGGAAATCCTGCTGTTACACGCCGCTCTCCAGACTTCCATCAAAAACCATTTAGTCCACAAAATTGTTATGTGAGCTCTCCTCCTTGGAGCTCATTAAAAGGTAAATATTTGGACCACTCCAGCCCCTAATTATACCAACAAAAATCAACCAAGAAATATATATATAGCAACTAAGAAATTGCATATTGATGTAAAGACAAGCCTGATTTATGTCATCATGTAGTAGCTGAAAGACTGTGAATAAGACTGTGACAGCCTAAAGGACTGGCTCAGGTAGAACAAGCAGCAATAAGTGCAGCAGCTCAAATCTTGTCTTGTACTTATATTAAGCTGATGCTAGATTCACAAGAGCTGAAAGAAGTATATAATTTGATAGTTCTGAATACATCCATAAAATATGCTCCACAGCTCAAGTACAATAGCTTTGATCCAGCTCTGGGTCCGCTCGTGCAACAGAGTAGATCTGGTAAAAGGAATGAATTTGAAATCTTGCTGAAGACTACAGTACTTCATTGTGACTTGTAGCACTTGTATCAATATTGCCCCCCTAGCAGGGGAATTGGAACTAGATTATCTTAAAGTTCCGTTCCAACCCAAACCCTTCCATGATAAGACCTGAAAGCTCTGCTCCAACAGAGCCAAAAGATGCATCTGATTTGAAAGGCAGTCTTGTGAAACAACACAGGCAGATAATTGTGATGGTTTCCAGGTGGTGTAACCTCTGAAAGTTTCTTGCCTTATCTATCATCAGCTACCTCACATCAAAGCTTGCTCTTTACAATGTATATGTCGGTAAGAAGCCAAATCTGAGTGGGAACACTACATTGAGTCATATTTCAGAAATATTCACTGCCTTGAAATCAGCACTGAAAAAAATGAAAAAAACATATAAGAAAGTAATTGAGTTTGTATCAGTACGAAGAGAATGTACTGTTCTATCATATTCCAAAAACGTGAACTCACTTGCTATAACAATATTTTATAGTTTTCAGTAACGCCCTATGCTAAAACCACTGACTGCTTACACATTTGAGATAAACAACTATGTACCTGTTCTCTTAAACCTGGATTTAAGATGAAAACGAAAATGGAAATATTTACAATACTATAATAAAAAGGTTAAAAAGATCATTCACATTTTCTGCATGGGTAAGAATTGAACTTCAGATAAAGCAATGAATTAGTTTTTTTGGAAGGCAAAGCACATGCACATTAAGAATCAAAATATATTAATTGTAATTGATGGGATGAAGACCAAAATTAACAGCCTGAAGCAAATTACTTTGCCACTACAGAACAGTCGCAGAAAGTCGACAGCACCTTCTCATTCTCCTTAATGCTACACCCTTTTCTGGCAGAGTGAAGTAGAACTGTAAACTCTTGGCAATGAGAGCATGTTTGATACTTCGATACAAGTTAATGTTCTAGCACAATACACCATGAGTGCTCAGAACAGTCCTATCTTTCCTCTGCGAGAATACACAAAATGGAAGGCACGCCTTTATATGACAAAATGTCCTTCTGTTCCTAGAAAAACATTTTGGTCCAATGTCATAGACTGATCTGCAGTGTTGGTCTCCAACATGACCTTAGTCACAGGGCAGGAACCTGGACTAGATGACCTGTCTTTCCGAACTGGATGATTCTCTGATATGGTTCACACTTCATATTCACAGAAACTTAAAAACCAACAACAACAACAAAAAACAAAAAACCCTAAAATTAGAGTGTTTTACCCATGCTCTAGCATGTAGTTCTAATTCAACATATAATTGCACTTTGGAAATTTGAGCAATTTACAACAGTCACTAGAGTGTATATACAACAAAATATAACATACAAACCAGTACTCCTTTGTCTGCCTCTCCAGTGAATTACTTCAAAATATTTAGTGAATTCTCATTTTATTTGATTGCTTCCATTCTATACACTAGATTTCCAATTAACAATACTTCAAAATGAAACCAATTCCCAACTTCACTGCACTTTCCACTTCAGCACTTATGTATTTAAAAGACATGAAAGTTCCTGTAACAATAATGCAGACTTGCAACTGATTTCAAGAGCTTACGAATAGCAACACTTCATTATTTAGCCATGACTATTTTCCATAACAATAAACACTATACAATGCTTAAAGATTAAGTGAACATCAATTTACAGCATTCAAAGACTTGCCACAAGAAAGTCTGAAGAAGGTTATTAACCTTTCATGTAATTTAGAAGTGACTCTCCACGTGCTTGCTGTATTTGCTAAAACCATCCCGCCATTACCCCGCGCTCCCCCAAAACTTCATCATATTTATTGATGAAACAAAGGAGTACTTTATTTTGGATGACAAAAGCTAATTTCCAGACCAACAGCTTTGATTTAATGGGGGAAGAGGGGAAAAATGTTACAGTTCAGTAGTTACTTGCACATGAACAGACTTTGTTCTACTTCACAGAAATATCTAATCCAGCAGAGATCTTCAGCAAAGGACATCGGTGCTCAACTTTAAGTAGGCAATTTTGTATATACTCGTCCAATCTAACAAAAGGAACTCTAAAAATAGCCAGTTAATCTCTTATGCTTTCAGTGTATTTTGGACATTGACACTCAATACATTTCCAAGCTTATTTTGTTAGATGAAGTAGCAGAATGAAACTTAACTGAAGTTACCAGCGGAAAGTTGACTAAGAATGGCTCTTACACATGCACACACTGGTTTCTAATTTGCTTTATTCACACGCTTTAGTACTGTAAGCTTTGTGAACAAACTATAAGACAGCTAAATATTACATTCTGTGAAATTTTATCCCCAAAGAAGTTTTTGTTATTTTTGTATGAAGCAAAAGATTCATCTTCTGCTACACTGCAGCAAAATAAGATGTCTACATACCTGTAATTTCAGTGATTTGTGTCTATTTAAGTTACTTTTACAGTTCTATTTTATTCACAGGCCCACTAAAAGTGAAGATGAAAACACTTTAAAAAGACCAGTAAAGTCATCTCTCACTTCAAAGTTCTTACAACTTACGAAAAAAAAAAAAATTCTTCAAACTGCCTAGCAGTCCAGATTATCAGGTGTGATGTTTCTATAGCAGAGATTATAAACTCATACCCGTTCCTTAGTTCAGCTAACTGGTAAGTAAATCATTCCAGCCATATCTGAAATCTGATCCCCTTGTGCATGACTGCATATTATACTTAATTGGTTTCTCCTTTTCAATTTAAACTATACTTTCAAATTATACTTAGAAGCTTGCATTTTTAAAACAAGCTTTACTATGTAGGGAGAATCCACAGAGTAGATTCTTTCAACTTCATTTTTGACTTAATTTTTAACAATATGGTACAACTGTATCATATCCACAATGCTAAATCCACACCTGAACAGATTAGGAAACATTTTGAAGCAGTGTTGAATAAATGATTTTGGTGAGCTGTAAAACACCGACATGCAAAGTATACTGCACTACAACAGCTCCAAATCCCTTATAAAAACCTAGCATTCCCTCTTCACGTTTTATAGTATTAATGCAGTCTCTCACTCCCTCATATTGAGTATTGATCGGAAGCACTTCATAGCCAAGGTCTGTATTGTCAATTATCGTGCGCGTCCCTTGAATATGAAGGCGGTGTAAAACTGTTTCCAGTGGGTAAAGCATGACATCAGCACAAAGGCTAGCGGCAAAGCTAGCAATGAGTTCTGGAAAATACGCATCCAGCATGCTCTGCACAGAAGTGGAGCTCTCTGTTGGCAGGCTGTGGGAATTCTCTCTTTTCAGAAAAAGCAAAACAAGCTTCTGGACGACGGAACTGATGACGTAGTGAAGAACTCCATGTAGAGCGGTTGGAAAAATCAAGACCATTAGAGGAAGGAGGCGCTTGCTGTGGGGTACTCCCATGCCTACAACTCTGCCGATTCCTTCTTTAACACAGTCCAGAATGCCAGGATTGTCTCGAATGATTTCACTCTACAAGCACAATGGATTAGTTAAGACTTGTGCCATTTCAGTACCACACTGACACCTACCTCTGCTGAATTTTATCTTAAGATAAACACGTATTTGCACGCCATTATGTCTAAGCGGCTACACTGACATTTCATGTTCTTCATTCATACTTAATAGATTCAAGTAAATTTGCTTTTTTTTAAAAAAAAAAAAAAGTGATTTGATCTACATTACAGTTACGTGTATCACTAGCAAAGAAATACAACTATCAGCGTATCACAGGGTCTGTCAAAAAGAGAAACTAATTTGAATACTTCAAAATATTTTTTTGATCCAGTCTTTATAAATACGTAACATGTTACGAACTCTGAAGATCTCCTTCATATTGCTATTATCACTTCAAACATGCCACCTACTGGCTTGAAATGTCAGAGACAAAAGCTCTAGCAACTACAGCCTAACTCTTAAAGCTATTTCAATGAAGCATTTCTAACTGTTAATGGTATGGTTTATCAAAGTTAACATAAAACTTTTGGTAAAAGAAATCCAACAGTCTTTAATCTCTGTATCTTGTAATTTGTACTTGTCCTCTTTCAGCACACGAATAACTTAAAATTGTTACAAGCTGTCCACTGCAGATATGGATGCTGCATAAATAAGTGACAAATGCTAATACTAACTTTCACATTTCTCGTTAGAAAGTCAATTATTATGTTTCCAAGAACTGGATAATACATTTAATACAGCACAGATACATCTATTCAGGAAAATACTTAAACACAGTTGAACTGAGCCTAAAATTCTGTTAAGATCTCAGTAGGATTACTTTCACGTACAAAATTTTACATAGATGATCACTTGTTTAAAAGGTTGTAGGAAATACTGTTTTGCTTGTTTCTGCCTGCTTAATGAGCACAGAATCATCACAGAACGGCTTGGTCTGGAAGGAACCTTATAGACCACTGAGTCCCAGCGTCATGATCATGAGCAGGGCTGCCACCTGCTAGATCAGGCCACCAAGTGCTGCAACCAACCTGGCTTGGAACATCTCCGAGGACAGGGAATCCTCAGGTTCTCCAGGCAAGCTGTTTCAGAGCTTCCTCACTCCCCAAGTAAAGAAATCCTCTCTACCAAATAATCTAAACTTCCCTTTTCTGTTTAAAACCAATGTCCCTTTTCCAATTCCTGTCAGACCATACAGTTCTTCCATCCAGAGCCATGGTGGCTACCTCAGATCATCTCCTTGTCTCACATGTCTTAACACAGCTTCCAGGAGGAGCTGTTCTATGATCTTTCCAGCCACAGATATGAGGCTACTCATCCTAGAGTTTCCTGAGACTTCCTTTCAGTGCCATGATTTAGCGGAGGGTTGTTAGAGTTAGGGTAGTATGTTAGGTTGTGGTTGGACTTGATGATCTTGAAGGTCTTTTCCAACCTGAGCAATTCTATGATTCTCTTAAAGTGAGAGGATTTTGCTCTCCCTGCCTACACATTCAAGGATGTGAGAGGCATGCAAAGCCTGTCTGTGGAGACTGATGCAAAGAATTGTGGAGTATCTCTGCCTTCTCCACGTGAGTTGTTCTAGTGCTCCTTTTCCATTTATCAGAGAAGGTACTATGTCTTCTATTTCTTCTGACCCATAGAACCCCCTTCTTGTTTTTCACATCCACTGCCAAACTCAGTTCTGTCTGTGCCCTGGCTTTTCTTATCCCATCTCCACAAGTTCAGAGCAATGCTTCCTCGTAACAAAATCTCTGTATCTATCAAGTGCCTGGATAACACTATTACTCACATTTTGTCTACCAAGATCTTGTTCCTGGCTCACAACAATCCTCACTGAAAGGAGTGAGCACAGTCTTGCCAAAAAAGACTTTGGGGGACCTCTTTGTGGCAAGCTGAACACGAGCTAGTGAAGTGCCCTAGCAACCCAGAAAGCCAATTGTATCTTGGGATGCAAGGAAAGAAAGTGTGGCCAGGAGGACAAGGGATATGGATCTTTCCACTTTAGTTTGCACTGGTGAGACCTCACCTGGAGTACTGCACCCAAATGTGCAGCCCTCAGTACAGGAGAGATGTGGACGAATTAAAGTGCGTCCAGAGAATGGCCAAAAAAACGATCTAAGGGATGGAACACCTCACTACAAGGACAAGCTGAGAGAGCTGGAGCTGTTCAGCCTGGACAAGGCTCCAGGGAAACCCAAGAGTGGCCTTTCAGTATGTAAACACATTCTCAAAGAATGATAAGAAGATAGAAAAATCAACCTTTTTTTGCCTCTTCTCCACAGAAAACATCTTACTGACACCCAGCAACAGCTGAACTATAGGTTTAAAAAGTTGGATCTATTATCTATCTTAGTAGTATTTACGAACTTGCCTGAATGAAAGTGATTAGTTTGATGACTGAATGACATGAATGACTAACCTGCATCACCTTCACAAGAGCTCACTTTACTGGTAAGAGTGCCATCAGCAGCAAAAAGATACTTTCATGGTAAAAGCAACTAATTACATGGAAATATCCAGAAGAATTATCCTGTACTGTTGTTAAGCTTCGACACTTTGTGAAGAAAGGAATGCAACAACTCACTGAAATATAAGTATTATGGTTTACTCTGTACTCTTACAGACAAGAATCCTAAGCAACATGTTCAGACTATCCTGAAATTTGTTATGATGACTAAAGAAGAACTAGACAAAAATTTTAAAGGAAAAGCACTCCTTGGTATTTTGACCAAAGTCGAACTACTAGAGAAGCTCTGAAATCACTATAGTGAAAGGGTCAGAGGTCATACCAGTAACCTGCCTAGCAGACCTTTCAAAAACCTTTATACAGAAAAGACTTGTTTAGAATATGTCTTCTAGATTGCATAAATGTAATCTGCTCTTCCATAATACAGACTGTTGGAACACTGTGTCTAAGTGTGCTTTATCATACTAGATTTCCACTTCAGACAGCACAACCAAAATAACTATCATAATAAATACTTCCTACCTGATATAATAAATATACCATCTGATATAATAAAACATACAGCCTCAAGCAAAAACAATACAACTACTGCAACAAATCTGAATGCAAATCCAAAGATTCACTTCTCTAAGTAATCTAATTTATAAACAAAATAATTGTACCTTCCAAATGATATATGTAAATTACCTGTACAGTTTCAATCAGGCTTGCAGAATAGAAAGGCATTGCTATCACATGTGTTAACCTGTAGAAATCAATCAAATGACAATTATAGTCATGATAACATTACCATTTTAGTCACATATGCGCATGAAAGCAATGCAGTTATCTACCAAATCATGCATAAGGCAAAACAGCAACTCAAATATCAAAACACACATTAACAAGTCAAGATGTTCAGAACTTCTCTCAAATTCTACTCTCACATGATAGATCAATTCACGTCTCAGATATTAAAATCTAGTGAAAGAAGAAACCATTATTTTAAATTATTCTGTCTCCATAAAGACACGGGGATCCAGAAAGAGAAAATTTCTGAAACTGACAAACACAACCAACATTTTTAAAAAAATAAATCAGAATTTGAGAATTACCATAAGCATCCTATCAAGAAAGAACACTTGCAGATTATACTGCTATACATTTACTAGCTTTATTATTGATGCCTAAATAATAATAATAAATGCTATATTTACCCTTTGAGTAGAAGGTGTCCACCTATCTGTTTGAGGTTCCATTTATGTGAAAGCTCTCTAAAAAGTAAAGCAGGATTTACTGTACTATGCATAAGAACAGTTACTCTCAAGCATTTATTTCATGGGTATCAACTTCCTTTTTTCACACTGGCATTCTACTGTTAGTCTAGAGATGTATTTCTCTATAGGAAATCCCTCTGTCACATGTGCAGTTAATACATTGTAGTTAACCTTTAAAAAGTTATTCAGCCTAGTAGGTAGCTCAGAAAAACTTTTAATTATTAGTAAGTCTCTGAAAGTCACTTTCAGAAAGTAGTGGAAATTTCAGCATGTCAGCCTTTCTTTACCCAAATACATTCTTTATTGTATTTTGAATTAGTTACATTCTTTCCATTTCTTGAAGTTATTTTTGTCTGTTCTTTCTTTCTGTTTCTTTCCTAAAAAACTGACAAGATATTCTGACAGTCAGAGAAGACTGGTCTCTAACATAGCTCATTAAAATAATTTTAATTTTATTAAAACTCATGCGCTGTATATTAAGGGATTTTTTTTTTTAAGTCACCCTTAAGTTAGAATTTTCTAGTTACACATTTCAAGATATGAATACTAAGTTAACTACAGCCCGCTTGATTCTCACACCAGCTCAATATGACATCCAACAGCCATAATTTGGTAAATACCTACAATGTAATGAAATTTCTACCTCAAATGTCAGAAATAGATGAATTTTAAAAACTAAGTTGTAATGTTCAGCTTCAGTTTCCATTCAGTTGGACCTGATGACCTCAGAGGTCTTTTCCAACTTCAATGATTTGGTGAAATACAGAATGAGTTTGTCTAGCACAGAACAACATTCAACTTGCCATGTTAACATGCATTAAATGTTAACTGCATTTCCAAGCCCCTTTCCTATAATGGGGGAAAGCTGCAATACAGAACTGAAGACATTTCACTGCATCCTTTGTTCTTTATAAAATTATTTAACTCCACTTATGGGTGGCACTGTTGCCAAAAGCAGTAACCTCCATGTGCATGCAATGGCTCAGATGCACACTACTACTGAAGTGTCCAGTAAAAAACCGCATGGGGTAATACACACAGACGACATTCATTCTTGCCAAATCTCTTCTCCAATTTAAAACTATATCCTTTAAGTACTAGGTTTCCGTGTGTACGTTAAAAATGGGAACACTAAGCTCCCTCAATGCAATGACAATTCTTAAGCCCTTTGGTCAATTCAGACTTAAACAGTATTAAGCTCAAAACATATTTCCACTTTCTTAACATATTATCCAAGAAACGTCTTTATCACTTCACCAGCATTAGTGTGTGCCCTGTGACTATTAAGTATCTTTTACTAACTTTTGATTATAGAACCTTAGAATCGTCAAGGTTGGAAAAGGTCATCCAGTCCAACTGTCTGCCTACCACCAACAGTTCTCACTAAACAACACCCCCCAACACAACATCTAAGTATTTCTTGAATACCTCCAGGGTTGGTGACTCCAAACCAATTTGCCGTGTTATTTATATAGTTGACCAATAGGCAAACATACATACATGGCTTCCAGAAAGTCTCTTACTGTTTAATTACACGGTGATCTTTGCCAAGATAACCTCACTGTGCTGAAGTCATCTACTCAATGTCTAACTGAACTCAAATTTCTCAAAAAAATTTAAATTTCTAACACTTAAAAGACAACGTTTTGTTAGAAGAAATAAAAATCCACACAATACCTTGGTAAAGGTGTGAATTCACTGACGATGCCTTCTGTTCCCAGGGTTATGCCCTGAACAATGAAAGTGCTGCCCATTCCTTTCCAAAGAGCTCTTGGACCCTGTGTTTTGAAATATGCAGTTACACTGAAGCAACATATTTTCACTATTTCACTCATTTGCATAAAATCTAAGCAAACCCAAGATGCGTAGGGTCACAATTCTATCATTAAACTTCAAGATCATCAAACCAGATGACTTCTCAACTCAAAAGAACTTTGCATCACACAACCTTAGAGGTCTCTGTGTCATAAATGTTATGCCATTTTCACTGGACAAAATATGCTCAGGATGTTAAGATATGCCGATTTTTACTGCTCTCTGACTTAAGTATGAGGTTTTCCATTCTCCTCCTTCTCCTCCCACAAGACTATGCAGAACTGGAAGTTCATACTTCAGATGTAGCCACTTAACAGTCACTCTCATTATCCACATAAAGCTTCTTCTTTTTTTTTTTTTTAACTATCCTAATTGAAAAAAAAAATAGTTTTGAGGGCCTCTTACTTTCTAAAACACACAAGCCTTCCCCACTAAATAATACACTTCATCAGAAAAATTAATCATTACTTTTTGAAGAATTTCTGTGACCATAAACACCCCCTAACAATGACCATATGTTTTACCACCAGTTGCATAAAGAAATGAAGATGCCAGTATACAAATGTACCATAGTAACATCCATTGCTCTGATGCAACCTGACCCCAAATACTGACCTGTGTCTTATTGATGCTGTACATAATATTGACAATAGTAAATGGAGTGAGATGATAATTCCGAGCATGGTAATTAACCTGTTAAAAATATAAATGACTGCAGTTTTATAAACATATAGAAGTTACAACTCTGAAGTAAAAAGCACTTCCAAAACAGGCATCATCTCCATAAACGTCACCTAAAGTGACCAATATATGAATACAGTCTCAGTGAAATTCAGAGAAACAAGCAAAACTTTTAAGTGTGTATGGTGCAAATGTAAACAACAAAGAAGCACAGAAAAAAAAATACTTGAAACATAACATCTTGTTAGTAACCTGGGTTTGAAAGTTTCAGAGATGTTGAGGATCTCAATTGCTGTAACTTATTTTCCATTATCCAAACAAAAAAGAATGCTCAGGTTAAATTTTAGAACAGAAAAAATGCACGCTACAAATAGAAATAAAACAATGCATACTACTTAAGAATTGTGAAGTTTCCTTATATGCTACAGAACACAACAAAAACAATATCACAGCATAGAAAAGATCTGACTGAAAAGATAACAGAAAAGATATACCTGACACTGACGACGCAGAACAATGCAAGGATGGGCCAACACATTTTCTGTAAATAGGCTTTAAAAAAAGAGAAACGTATTTAAAGCACTGGAAACAGCTGTAAATTTATGAGAAAAGGCTTATTAACAGCATTGGATCAGTATTTGAAAAAAATACGTGTTACCTTGCAAATGAATAAGGCATTCTGAAGGGCTACCTTCTAGCATGCTGCTACTACAAACTAACAAGTATAAAATCACCCAATGCATACAATCATAATGAAAATTATGTACATAGGTTATATGTACATAAGTTGGTCCAAAAGTAACCTATTTATTTCCATGGAAACTACAGATGCATAAAGCCCAGTAACATTATTTGACATAGCAAATACCCAGCTACAACATGCTATTTTTCAGTATAGTCACCATCATTAGCAGATGAGCTAATTGATATGCTCTTCATTTCATGGTGTGACAGCTGTGTATGGTGGTCCAGAACACGCCTTGTCTTTCACACTGTTGTTACCACTGCTGAAATATAGCACTCAATGAACTATATCTATAGTCTGGCCTAAACATTCAGCATTCATGACATGAATGTCATGAGTGCAATTTTTTTTCTCCACGTGGTGGAATTCAAATTATGAACGAAGTAAAGGTGCGTTACTATGGCAGTTACCATTGTCTCAAATCTCTGCTGCAATCTGTCACACAGGAACAAAACATAATGGAATACTGGTAGGAAGGTTCACCTTTCACTGCCATACCACCAACATATGCCCCTGGTGTTCCAGGCCACGATAATAAAATAGGAGGCATTACTTTTGGAGCAGCCCTTGTATATACATATGGTAAAGCAATGCACCAAAATTCTTAGACCCCTCCCTTTCCATAAGATGAGGAAACAAGTCAGACAACAGTAGGATACTGGAGGGGTTACTTTCCAATTTTATATTCATTCTGCTTATCACAGGATTAATCGTGACCTTATTTAGAAAGGTACAGGACTGTTGTCAACAGCTACTTTTGAATTTCAGTCACACATTTTTTCAACAGGAAAGCATACTCCCCCAGAACAGCGCTCCTCTTCCTCACCTAAGAAACCACTGAAATCAAACCATGACAGGAAAAATCTCTCAATATTAACATAAAATTTCTGGCCACAGTCAGATACAAGACGTGAAAACTTGTTATCTGAAAGAATCCAAGTGGTAAAAACACTTGTCTGCGTGCAGTTCAAATCCGATATAAGGATAAGAAAATCAAGGCCTCCAGACTCTGCCTAAGCATTTTAGGTAACATCACTGGTACCTTTAGGATATATTTAGGTAAGTTAGTGAACACTAACTTACTTGACCATTTGGAACTGATTTTTAACAGGACGGATATTACTCTGGATAAGCAAGTATTAATTGGAAAAAACAAAACAAAACAAAACAAAAAAAACAAAAAAAAACCACCAAATAAACAAAAAAAACAAAAAAACAAAAACAAAAAAAAAAAAAAAAAAAAAAAAAACCAAAAAACTAAGCCTGAAGTTTCATAAGCTATTGAGCTAGTTCATATTTTGCTTCTACCAGTAAGGCAAAGCTTTCTTCACACTCCAGATGCTACCTATTCAGCCTTTTTCATAGCCAACTGAGTTGTAGAAAGTAAAAAGTAACCTTTTTATTGTGGCTGTTTTTTACAGGATTCCTGATACGAATCACATCACAGGGTGTCTGACAAGCACCTGATGTAATGCAAATGCAGAAGCTGGAAGAACTGGTCTCAGCAGTGGTACAACATTCATCAGCTCTTCCTCAAAACCACAAGCCCACCTTAAGGTCCTAGAAGCCCTAGTACTCAAGATGTAAAAAACTTCATCATGCTTGATTAACTGGAAATACATAGTTTCAATGGACTACTGAGACATGCTAACACCTCTGCGCTGCTGAAGAAAATGAATACCATCCTGCCGTATGGCCCCACACTTTGCTGTTCTCACCTGAGTTCATTAGCTTCATCAGGTTGAAAAGAAATTAAACAACTCTTAACATGTTTGGCAGTTTCCACTCACTTCAACATTAATAACAAGGCTGAGCAATGAGCAAGCTGAATCATTGCAAGAGAAGCAGTGGAAGGAGGGAGACAGGTAATATTTCATGAGGTGAGATGACCTAATTTAAGCAACTCATTACTTGCCAGAAATGGTCACTCCTATTTTCTCTTCTTTATCCCTCCCCTCTCCGGTCCACTGCTGGCACTACTTCTAGGTGACTAACTGGCTCCTGCAGAGTCAGCTCCAAGGCAAATCAACCTGCCTCACCAAAACAGCAAAAGTCATCCAGCTCCTTCCCTGATTTGTTTTCACTTTAACTGCCTCAAATCAGTTAAAAGTTCTGATAGGCATCAAGGGTGACAATAGTAGGGGAAGAAACAGACCAAGTTGGAAGTCTTTGTTTCACTTTTAGCAGAAGCCAAAAGAACCTCAGTTGCCCAAGAAACTTAAGATGCAATTTCCTATGCTGAGCTAACTGGGCAAATAACATATGTACTCCAATTTTCTGAAGAGAGAAGCACTTTTAGAAGTTTCACATGCAGGCAAAGCAAATCTCACATTCCATAAGGAATAAGTCTTTTTTTTATTCATTACTTTTTTTGAGACAAGAAAGCCACCTCCCACCCTTTCACAAGATCCATCAGTACAGTGACCAAGAAAAACCTCATCAGCTGAGTGTGACTGAGCAGGAATACTAAAAAAAAATCCAGTTCATCACAATACCTAGACCAGACAATTTTGGGTTCTGAAAACAGTATTAAATATTTTAAATCCACTACTTCCACAAATATTATCAGCAGTTAGTATTATCAAAATCATGAAAACTGACCAACTAGTCAGGTTAACATTACTGATTCAAATACACTGATATTGAATATATTTGCATATTCTTAGGAAACATTCACATTGACGTTACTTAAATACGTTAATAGAAGGAAGAAAATAAACTTCTGTGCTATTCTCAGATTGCTATGAAGAAGTTTCAAATTCACTGCTCCTGGAGTCATTCTGAGAAAAACTAAGTAACAGAAACCTAAATGGATTTTAAATAGGTTTAACAAGCACTTCAACTAAGTCTATAGGCAGAAAAATAACACAGGTGATGTACACGAGGATCATAAAACAAATATAGCTTTACTATATCACAATTGCTTGAAAGCAATACAGAATTCTTACCTTGCAAGGCCAATACCAAAGCCTGCAAACCTGTTCAACTGCTCTGAAAGAAATAAAAATAGATTATATAGCACAGAAGGGAGAAATGCCAAGCAGATCATTTGAAAACAACAACAACAAAACCAACACAACCAAAAAGCAACAAGCAGTTCCAAATTACCTTATGCTGTACTTGATAAAAAAAGATACAGCTCCTAAACTACAATGTTTTTAGCAATTCAGTAAGGGAAGATATAAAAAAATGATTCGCCCAAGAATATATGTACTTTGGATTCATTTGAGTTTGTGCACACTTTCAGAAACAAGATTTAAAACAACTACAGGGAAAAAAAAGGAGATAAAATGAACAAGAAGTTCATAAAATTGAACCTTTTAATAGATAAAGAGGCTAACTTCATTCATGATTCATTCATGATAAGCTTACAATTCTGAAGTACAAAATTAGCTATTTATGGCAGAATTCACTTGAAAATCAAAAACAGTAAAAAGAGAAACTTTGGAAAAGATAATAAAACAACATCAAGGGCTTTCAAATCAGTTTTCTAACTCCACTCCTTTGCTAAAAAAGAGTAGTAACTAAAAAAAGCACTAAAGCTGCAAATAGAACAGTGGGTTCAATTACCTGTTGTTTGTTACCACATATTTACACTTTGGAACTACTAGTTTTAAGAAAAGCTTTAAGAAGAACCACAAACACAACTGAAAATTAATGTTCAAACTACAGATGAATGGAGATTGCAACCACAGATAGTCCCAGTGGAGCTTCACAGAGACACAGCAGCTCTCCTATGAGGAATAAGCCACTCTTCACTTGCAGAGGTTGGACTCAACGATACCGCAACTCCTTAAAGTTCTTTAACATGTAGAATCACCGTAATGACCAGGAGTACAAAAGACAGGAAAAGGTACAGTCAGAATATCTATGAAGAAGCAGTGTGGTTCACCGCACTTTCATCAGTGGGGTTGTACACAGACAACCCTAAAAATCCAGAGAACTGCAGGTTGAAAAAAAGATTTACCCATTAACAAACTAAGCTTTAACCAAACCAGCTGTTCACAGAACTTTGATGCCTACATACATATAAACCGCTACAGATCATCTTTTAATTAAAGCAGCCTATGCTCAGTAGCCTAGATTTAGAAAGTTTCTCTCAATTCACCTCAACCCGGCATGAAACGATACTGTGCTTATAAAAGTCTCCACTCTCGCATACCAGTACTCTACTTTTGCATACCAGTAAACGGAAAAGGCTCGAACCAGCCGCCAATTCTCCCGCTCCTTCACCGCCATGCACGACAGCCGTTATCCCTCCCACAGCTGGTGCAACCACCCTCGTGCGTTTCAGCAAAACAATGAAAGCGACCGGAAGACAGTCCGCAACGCTGACACTAAGCAACAAAACACTCCATCCGACCCGCGGCCACCTCCTACCCTCACAGGAGGCGGAGCACGTCTGCAAGGTATCATTTACACGGGCACAGGGAGTCCTGACACGCGCCGCTTAGCCAGGACTCGCAGGCAGCGCGCGGGCGCTCTCGGTCCTACACGCGCGGAGCCGCGGCCGTGAGCTCGGCAGCCCCGGGCCTGTGGCGGGAAGCCGGAGGACAGCGCAGCGCACCCGCGCGGCGAGCGCCCGAGCCCAGGCCGCCGCCTGCCCGCCCTCGCCCGTCAACGAGCGGCGGCCAGAGGAGCGGGCCGCGCTGCTGAGCCGGGCCCTTCCTTACCGGCGCCGGGCCCGCCCGCCCCGAGGCCAGGCTCCTCGTTGAGACCGGCAGCCCCGAGCGGCGTCCCGGCCCCGTACGGCGGAGTCTTCTCCCCCCAGTGCAGGTTGCGGCTGCCGGGGATGTCGGGCGGGGTGGTCACCCAGTGACCCATCTCCGCGGCTCCGCCGAAAGTCCTGACGGCCGGGCCCGGCTCCTCCCGGCCGCCCCCGCGGTAGCCCAGGCCGTCGAAGCCCTCAGGGCGCCGCGGGTGCATGGCGGGCCGTCACGGGCAGCGGCTCGACCCGCTGCCAGCCGCCACTTCCGACAGCTACAGGCCAGCCCCACCCCACCGAAGCCCAGCGAGCGCCGTGCGATCAGGGAAGAGGCGGGGCCGGCAGCAGGCTGCCCCAATGGCACCCTTCTTCCTGCGGGGCCGGGCTTTCCTCGGAGAGCAGAGCAGTGCTGGCGCCCTCTGTCTCACCGGAGGAGCAACGTTGAGGACGGGGAGGTCGCGGGTCGGCGTGAAGGCGGCGCGGGTGTGGGCGTAGGGGCTCGTCCGGTGCTGTGCGATCCGCGTGTTACGGATTCTGCCTGAGAGCCTTTCTGCCGTCCTTTCTGCCTGAGAGCCGCGGGGCCTGGAGCTGAGAGACCTGGCACCGTTCAGCCGGGTGAAGACCGAGAGGGAATGTCACCGGCGCTTACAAACGTCTAAAAGCTGTCACGTGGATGGTACTGGTTGCCTTTAAGCAGTGCCCAGTGACAGAACGAGGCACAGTGTGAGCAAACTGGAACATAGGTAGTTCCATCTGAGCAGGAGGGAAACCTTTCCTTTGAGGGTGACAGAGCTCTGGAACAGGCTGCCTAGAGAGGCAGTGGAGTCTCCTTGTCTAGAGATACTGAAAACCTGTATGGACGCTTTCCTGTATAACCTGCTGTAGTGAATGTGCTGTAGCAGGGGCTTGGAATTACATGATCTCCAGAGGCCCCTTTCAACCTCTACAATTTGTAATTCTGTAAGAGCACCAACAGCTGGGCCTTGGGCTGACCTGCGCCCATTTGTTCTTTGTACACCAGATTAAGCTGCATTAATCCTTTCAGATCTAAGTAAAGGACTTGCAGCAGGAATGCTCACTGTGTTTTACTGTCATGTGGTGCTAAATCTTCTCAACTTTGCCTGGTTTCTTCTACTGCTATTAAATATTAGCTCTGCTTTACCAGGAAGCCTCAGGTGTTCCCCATGACTGGGTGAAGGGTCAGTGTCCTTGTTTGGGTAGGGAGAAATGGTCTGGGGAGCTGCAGCCCTTCTGTCCTGCAGCAAAAGAAGGCCTATGCAGATTTGCCTCCTTCCTTTGGGCCATGACAATTGCCCACTAAGTGCAGGTCTGCTGCAAAGATTTTGCTTTGAACTTGTGAATAGGCAGAAGACCCAGCCTCCCCAGGAAGCAAGAGCCAAAACACTGCAGTTCATGTTAGGATTAGAGGTAATTTCTGTCTTAAAAAACAAAGCAGATTTTTTTGTGTATCTAAGACAGGTCCAGCCTAAATCTGTTCAGTACATACTGTGATGAGCAGGTCTTCAAGGGTTAAGAGATGATCTGGTAAGCGGTGTCTCTGGGAATTAAAGGAATAATGAATATCCAAGAAAATGCTGCCCTCTGCACAATGAGGTAGTGTCTTATTGGTCAACAGTAGGAAAGTTGTAGCATGAACAATGAAAGTATTTTCCATTTGGAAATAAAGACCTAAAATGGCTTCACAGATTTTTGTTTGTTACATGCTTTTAGTTCCCTGCAAATTGCAGGAGTGGGGATGCAGGGGTAGAATCTGTGTCTTCTGCACAAGTCCAGCCTCTGTTTTTTTTCTGATCATACTTCCACAGCATAGGCCTGGTTTGCAGATGATTGGGCTGATCTCTTCTGTTTGAAGGAAAACACAAAGAGTACAATTTTAAGGCTTGGTTTTGCACTTATAACAAATTGGAAGCAAGCTAAGTTATTTAAGCATAACAGTAAGACATAGAGCTCCTGTATACTGTTGATCCTTTGAAGTAAATTCCCATGTGACCTACTATAGGGCCAGGTGTGCCATCTCTGGACTATGTTGCTGTTCTCTCTTGTAAGCAATGACCAACCTACAGGAAAGAAGTGCAGAAAAAATGTTGTTGAATAGGACATGCAGCAAAACTTATTCACTTGGAGAATATGGAAGAAAAAGTCTTATACCAAAGAAAAATGCAGTATTTTGTATCCTTTTAAACACCGAAAATGTAGCAAACTGTATGTATGAAGTCAGACTTGTTTTTTGGAAAGGCACAATTAATCGAGTCTGTATATGTGTGAGGGAATGAAAATGTCATGGATAAACACCATTGTTTAAAATAGATTTTTATGTGCACCTGTCAGCTACTGTATCTTTCCTTCCTCATAAAAACAATTTTCTGGAACAGTGATTTTTCTTTTTCAGACTCTACAAGAATATTTGAGGAAACTTCCAATGCATTGCCACACTTTCCTTTTGCAAGCATTTCTATCTGTAATGTCATAAAGGTTGAAAGAAAATGGCATCTTGTGACTAGACCTTTGTGGGAAATATGACCCCCAGGCTTCAATTTAAGTGTCCTTCCAGCTTTTGCTTCAAGGAGGGAGAATCTGTGTCACTCAGAATCCTGTATGCTAAATAAACCGATGCATCCCACGCAGGGGCTTATCATCAACTCTGTGTATGCTTAAGTAGCTTATTATCAGCCCATGAATTCACAGGCCATGCATACAGGGCATCCATACTTTTGGAGGCTACTGCTGGGTAATTACTCAGTGAGAATCTACTGCTGTTTCACATGCAAGCCTCTGTGTATATCTTGTTCAATATGCATAAGAAAACATAAATTAACTTTTCTACCTACACATATCTAAAATCCAGTTTCTGCTGCTTATTTGTGCTAGAGTAAATGTGGGTTGTTTTTTTTTTTTTTTTTGGTGGTATTCAGACCTTTTTGCCTTCATTCCTCCCTTCACAAAAGTCATTGAATCAAACAATCATAGAATGATTTGGGATGGTAGAAACCTTAAAAATTATCAAGTCCCAACCCCTTTGCTATGGGCACAGACACCTTTAATTAAATCAGATTGCTCAAAATTCCATCCAACATGGCCTTTTTCATATCCTACCTGTGAACGGAGAGAGAGGTGACCAGATTTGCAAATCTCCTCAGTTAAATTAAGGTAAAAAAAACACCCAAGTTCCAAACACAATTGTCAATTTTAATGAGAATCTCTGTACTAAAATTATCTTAAAAATATTGTCACTCTTAAGTTACACCTGTGTAAATCTTGTGGCTAAACTATGTGACTTCATAAAAAATCAAAATAAGTCTTACATTACTTAACAACTTTAAGGGGGAAAAGGAAGAAAAAGGGAGTGGATGGACGGGGG